CCCAAACTGAACTGAATAGCCTTAATTGACCCATTAGCAACAGTTTGAGCTGCTAAACGAGACTCAACCAGAGCGAGTCGATGTTTAAAATGTGATTTCTGTCCATGAAGCAGCAGCTTGTGCTCGTTCTTCAAACCTCGAAGCCTGAACAAGTAAAGAAAGACGTATGAGTTGGAGTCAGGATCAGGTCCTTGGTCTGCTTGGCCTCAGACTCTGAGCTTTTTGCCAACAGATGGACGGTGCAGCTCTCTGGCCTCCGTTATCTCCATCGATCTGCCTCCAGCTGCCAATATCCGTTGGTCAGGACGGAGAGTTAAAGTGAAAGTGATCCAGCAGATATGGGCCGAGACTCGCTCCGTCAGACTGGACCTCCAGCCGGTCAGGAGGAAAACGGAGCTGACAGCTGGACTCAAACTGCTTTAACCACCGACTCTGCTTCACTTGTACTTTACTTCTGTGGATCTGCAGACTTTCAGTCGCTTTGAGTTCTTCACTGAGAAACATCGGAGCTTTGATGAGCGATCGATTCGTTTATTATCAGAATCAGCTGGAATCATGTCAAGACAGAAAACCCTTCAGAGCTTCTTGAAGGTGAACATTTGATCTGTGAGGCTACCGACTGGTTCAGTCATCGATTATTCCACCAACTGATCGGTGAAGAAGTCCTCTGGCTTTATTAGAGTAAATATTTCAAACAGAACCGATGGAGTCTTTCAGCTCTCTGAACTCGGAGGTGTTTCTGGTGTTTTCATGTCTCCTCACTGTCGTGTGTTTCAGGTCTTACAAGCTGCAGCAGGTTCTCACAACGTTTCCTCTGGGTTTGTCCAGAACTCTTGGACTCATGTTGGACACGTCAAGTCCAGGTTTTTACAGTCAGTGACCGGCTGTGGACCGAGTCTGAGTCAATCTGGACAGTTATGTTGAAGCAAATAATCAAAGAAATGTTCCTTTTCTGTAATTTCCATCGTTCTGTGTCCCGCCGACAGCAGGCGTTCTGTTCTGTGTCCTCCGTGGTTCTGTTTGCACTTCAGAGGGTTACAGTATGAATATGAAACCCAAAGGGAGGTTATGAGGGAACTAATGAATCCTGCGGCGCTGAATCCGTCCGTTAAATGAAGCCATTTAAGCCGAATGCACAGAGTTTATTAATGCATTCACACATCTGAAATGAGAGTTTATTTAAATAAGACGCAGACGAGCAGCTGCAGCGGATTCATTATGAAGCTACACAGCTTTTAAATTAGCTGCAGAGTTAGAAACACAGGCGGCGATACGAGCCCTAACGCGGCAGACGAGGTCGCGGCCTGATTCTGAAGGACCGAGACCGAACCCAGAGCGGAGCTGCACTTCATTACCTGCATATCTGATCCGCCGCTCATTTGCATATTTGTCATATAAAGACTTTAATTCCACGGTGAGACAGAAACCGACTGCTCCTGCAAATGAATCAGTTCATCAGCAGCAAAATTAAAACAAGTCCTGTCAGGTGCTAATTGGTCCACAGCTCACTGAAGACTTAATCAAACAGAGGAACGGACTCTTTGGTCTGAATAAGGCCACAAATACACCGTTTATATCCAATAAAGCCTCCGTGGCTCCGTGAAACAGCTGCTCTACGTAGCTGGTAACAGGAGGGGATACAGATGGGGACTAGTTTCAGCGGCGGATGGATTTGGTCCGTGACTGAATGTTTTATCGTCGGTACGTTGGGTGTTGGTTTAATCACACACAAGTTTAAATGTGATTACAGTTTAAAATAAATGATCTGACTTGATTGATGTTGGTGCTGCTGGCGCCCTCTGCTGGTGGATCTGTCTGTGCATCCTGGTAGAAAATGTAAATAACAGACTGACGTAGCTGCGTTCCCTCTGACAGCCAGCAGGGGGCGACTCATCAAAGCTTAGGACCAATAAACCAACTTCTGTCTCGAAAAGGTGCAAAGGTGCCAAAAAATATTTTCAAATGCGTATAATTATTTTTTCATTTTAACTCGTTAATGTCTGTAATTTAACAAAACTTAGAAAACCTGTGAAGTAGCTGTAAATTACAATAAAAGAAGTCAATCCAAGTACATTGCAGTTAAAACTGCTTTTCAGATTTTGATGTGACATTAAACACATTTTAAACTCAGTACTTTTGGACTATTTTAATACGATAAACAGTTATTTGGTCTCTGAACCTTTGATGGTTCTATTTTAGAGCAGCCATGAATCGGGACTTTGTTTTTTTTATTTATTTCTGCCACATGAATCATCTCAGGACCTTTTGAAGGACCTGAACCGTCAGTTCTGTTCAGTTAAACAGAAACATGGAGCATCAGGATGATTCCCTCGTAAATCCGTCACATCTAACTCGGGTTCCTTGAGTCCGTCCTGCTGATAAATCAGCTCCAGCGGCGGTGCAGGAAGCGCTGCAGCTGCTGAGAGCTTCCTACAGTAAAACGCAGCTCTAACGAGGTTTCTGGATCCCAGCGAGCATCCTGGACTCCTGCCCGCCGCCTCATCTCCTCCTCGGCTTCCTCGTCTCACCGGCTGTGATTTATGGCTCCGAGCAGCGAAGGTGACGGCAGCAGGACGCTGCACGAGTCCGTTAACGCATCTGGAGAGCCGCCGCACACTTCTAGGGCAGCTGCATTGACATACGAGGTGTTGTAGAGTTAACGCTTCATTCAGGGTCGTTTCCATCACGGAT